CCTTAAGAACCTTGAGTGGGGAACAGTAGAGAGAGAAAAGGAGCTATAAGAAGCAGTTAGTACACAAGCTAAGAGTTGCTTATCCTTTTGGAATGTCAGACCTCTCCTCCCTAACTCTCATTTTAACTTGAGAAATCTTAATCTTTGTTTTACACAGAATAATCCTTCACCATTCTGAGTTTTCTGTCAGCATCAATGGGATTCCACATTTGGATAATAATTGACCTTTAAGCTCAAAGAAGTTAAATTATAAGCCTAATAGTACGTTCCTATCTGCTCAATTTGGCATTGGAGGCCAGATCTTCTAAATCCCAGTTTCCCCATGCAATCACACTACCCCCCCAGGGATGTTCCACCTTGGTTATAGTTTGAAGTTGGTCTATAAGGGTCAATGCTAACTAAACTGATTTTTTTTTTAAAGTTCAAGAAGAGAAGTGATCATGCTCTACCAATAAACAATATATATAGACATTAATGGACTCAGACTAAATAACCAGTTAATAAACATAGCTTCCTTATTGATACCACAATTTAAAAAAAAAAATCTTACATTTAGTACTAAGCTGGGTATAATGCTTTATTGGGGAAAATATAATGAAAAATTACATATGGTTTCTGCCCTCTAGAAAATTACAGCCCAAAACATATATCATTGGTAGAAATAAACACAGAAAGAACTGCAAGGTAAAATAATACAAACATTAAATCTATTCCTAAATATAAAATTTAAGACCCAATGAGGTATTCTCATTAGCTCCTAACCCAAACCCCAAACCACTGGCCCATCCAGTTTTCTAAGTTCTATACTATTAATATCCTGAACATTCAGCCAGCAAAACACTATTCCCAGCTTATAAAATTCCAGCTTGAATAACTTACATTTCTAGAGGAATTATCACCTAAAGTCCACAGTTTTGAATGGCCAAAGAGTGATAGTTCAAGTAGGTTCATATTTACGTTTCTGCTAGTTTCTATAGGCGGGTCCTATTCCCTTCAAGGTTTTTATAAGCTACTTAGAATAGGATATGGAAGGTCAGTTTGGCAAAGTTGCAAACTGCATTGAGATAGACAATTAAAATAATTAATGCAAAAATAAAATTCAAAAATCTCAATGGGTTTGAACAATGGACTGAAACAAGATGAAATTTTACATGGGAGCTGTAAAGCTTTCCGTTTTAGATTAAAGATCAATAGTCTCTGACACTTACTAAGTAATGAACAGAGAATGTACTCTGGAGCAGTTGTTCTTGAATGCAGCCTGATCGAATCTTATTTCTTAGCACCCTTTCAATGTACTTCTTTGTCTGAGTATTGGTGCTACAGATGATGAAAAGCATCACCAGGTCAAAAATCTATTGTCAATAAATATGCAATAATAGAAAAACAGTTAACAAATCAGTATATTTGCTACAATGAAACAGCAGCTTTTCCCCCATTAAAACACAGAATGGATGATACTCATTTGTTCCGCATACTCCCTTGGGGTTATCCACACTTTTCACAAAATCCAGAAATATTTTTCAGAGCAATAAAGTGCCACAACTATTAACCACTGGTATCTCTTAAAAATACATTGCTATATACATGAAAGTGATATTACTACAGAAGTAACTTTGGACATCTTCACATTTATTAAAAGAAAGATTCAATCACTTGCCAACTCCAGTATGTATTTTCACTATTACTAGGAAAATTACTTTGTGAAAAGTTGGAAAGACTATAAATGCCCATCAATACGGGAAAGGTTCAATACATTATGATGGAGTAATTTTAAATTTTGGAATATTACACAGTCATCAAAAAGAATAAGCCACGCTGGGCATGGTGGCTCATGCCTACAATCCCAGCACTTTGGGAGGCTGATGTGGGCATATCACCTGAGGTCAGGAGTTTGAGACCAGTCTGGCCAACATGGTGAAACCCCATTTCTACTAAAAATACACACAAAAAAATTAGCTGGTCATGGTGGCAGGTGCCTGTAATCCCAGCTACTCAGAAGGCTGAGGCAGGTGAATCACTTGAACCCTGGGAGGCAGAGGTTGCAGTGAGCCGAGATAGTGCCATTGCACTCTAGCCTGGGTGACACAGCAAGACTCTGTCTAAAAAAGAATTTTTAATTACAAAACTGAAAAAAAAAGAATAAGCTAGACCAGAGGTCCCCAACCCCTGGACCACGGAGTCCATGGTCTGCTAGGAACCAAGCTGCACAGCAGGAGGTGAGTGGCAGTCAAGTGGTCATTACCACCTGAGATCCACCTCCTGTCAGAATAGCAGCTGCATTAGATTCTCATGGGAGTGTGAACCCTATTGTGAACTGCACATGCACAGGATCTAGGCTGCACATTCCTTATGAGAATCTAAGTAGTGCCTGATGATCTAAGGTGGAACAGTGTCATCCTGAAATCATGCCCCAACATGGTCTGTGGAAAAACTGTCTTCCATGAAACCAGTCCCTGGTGCCAAAAAGGTTAGGAACTGCTGAGACATACTATATTTTTTGACAGAGAAAGGACATTCCTGACATGAAGTGGAAAAAACAGCAACCTGCAAAAGGATAATCAGGCTAGGCATGGTGGCTCATGCCTATAATACCACTGCTTTGGGAGGCTGAGGAGGGAGGATCGTTGAGCCCAGGAGGTGGAGGCAACAGTGAGCTATGATTGTACCACTGCACTCCAGCCTGGTGACAGAGTGAGACCCTGTCTCTTTAAACACCACCACCACCACCCATAATCATAGTTAAGATTCTGCTTTTGTAAAAGCGATATATAAACCTACATATGTGTAGGCGTAAGAGTATACCTGTACTTGTGCATAATTATAGCTTGTATATGAACAGAAAAAAATTGGAAGGATGATTATCTCTGAGGAATGGGACAGAGAGTGGAGAAAAACTATATTTTTTACATCTGTAGATTTCTTGTGAGTTTTTCTCCACAATTAGCTTGTTTACCTACATTTAAAAAAGAAAAATATGATGACTGGGTGTGGTGGCTCAAGCCTATAATCCTAGCACTTTGGGAGGTCCAAGCAGGAGAATCACTTGAAGCTAAAAATTTGAGACCAGCCTGGGCAACACACCAAGACCTCATCTCTAGAAAAAATAAAAGAATTGGCTGGGTGTGGTGGCTCACACCTGTAATCCTAGCACTTTGAGAGGCCAAGGCAGGTGGATCACCTGAGGTCAGGAGTTCAAGACCTGCCTGGCCAACATGGCAAAATCCTGTCTCTACTAAAAATACAAAACTTAGCTGGGCATGGTGGCAGGCACCTATAATCCCAGCTACTAGGGAGGCTGAGGCAGGATAATTGCTTCAACCCAGGGGACAGAGGTTGCAGTGAGCTGAGATTGTGCCACTTCACTCCAGCCTGGGTGAAAGAGCAAAACTCTGTCTCAGAAAAAACAAAACAAAAAAAGAATTAGCAGGGCCTGGTGGTGCTTGCCTGTAGTCCCAAGCTACTCTGAAGATTGAGATGGGAGGATCACCTGAACCCAGGAGTTTGAGGCTGCAGTGAGCTATGGTGCTGCCACCGTACTCCAACTTGGGTGACAGAGCAAGACCTGGTCTCTTAAAACAAAACAAAACAAAGAGAAAACGTTGAGAGTATATTCAGGGCAACTTGAGTCTATGCTTCTAAGAAAACAAACAAACAAACAAAAAAGTTAAAAAGGCAAGCAGGGCCTTTTATCTAAGATGGCCGAATAGGAACAGCTCCAGTCTGCAGCTCCCAGTATGATCGACGCAGAAGATGGGTGATTTCTGCATTTCCAACTGAGGTACCTGGTTCATCTCATTGGGACTGGTTGGACAGTGGGTGCAGCCCATAGAGGGTGAGCCTAAGCAGGGTAGGGCGTCACCTCACCCAGGAAGCACAAGGGGTCTGGAGATTTCCCTTTAATAGCCAAGGGAAGCCATGACAAACTGTACCTGGAATATCAGGCAACTCACACCCAAATACTGTGCTTTTCCCAACGTCTTAGCAACTGGCAGACAAAGAGCTTCTCTCCTGGGCCCAGCTTAGCAGGTCCCACGCCCATGGGCCTTGCTCACTGCTAGTACAGCAGTCTGAGATCAAACTGCAAGGTGGCAGCCAGGCTAGGGGAGGGGTGTCTGCTATTGCTGAGGCTTGAGTAGGTAAAGCGCCCGGGAAGCTTAAACTGGGTGGACCCCACCACAGCTGAGCAAGGCCTAGCCCTCTATAGTCTCAACCTCTGTGGGCAGTGCATAGCTGAACAAAAGGCAGCAGACAACTTCTGCAGACTTAAACATCCCTGTCTGACAGCTCTGAAGAGAGCAGTAGTTCTCCCAGCATGGCGTTTGAGTTCTGCGAATGGACAGACTGCCTCCTCAAGTGGGTCCCTGACCCCAGTGTAGCCTAACTGGGAGACACCTCCCAGAAGGGGCCAACAGACTCCTCATATAGCCTGGTGCCCATCTGGGATGAAGCTTCCAAAGGAAGGATCAGGCAGCAATATTTGCTGTTCTGCAATATTTGCTGTTGTGTAGCCTCCACTGGTGATACCCAAGCAAACAGGGTATGGAATGGACCTCCAGCAAACTCCAACAGACCTGCACCTGAGGGACCCGACTGTTAAAAGGAAAACTAACAAACAGAAAGGATCAACGTCAACAAAAAGGACATCTACACCAAAACCCCATTTGTAGGTCACCAACATCAAAGACCAAAAGTAGATAAAACCACAAAGATGGGGAGAAACCAGAGCAGAAAAGCTGAAAATTCTAAAAA